ATATATATCTATAAATATCTATCTATCTATATGGCCAAAGGAGGAAATCTAAAACGACTGCTGCTCTCTCTTCTGTATGCTGGTCCGTCTTCCACAGAAAAGAGAACACATACTTAAACCTCTCTTTCATTTCTCAGTGGCTGCATACTTGCTACAAACTGCTGATTTCAAGGACAGCAAGAACTACATTTGTGAAGAGCCGGTGTAACAAAGTAGCTTGCAGTCAACATAAGCCAGACCTACTCAAAACTCCACTGAAGGCAGGCTGCTGGTAGAGATGCGCTACTTTTTCCACCCAAACTGTCATTATATACATATTAAATCTACTGAAGACTAGGTTTTTCAGGAGTGCAGCAATTCTTACTCTTCCTATCAAATCACTCAGTTGAGAAAGCATCCACCTATTGCTGTGATTCTATGAAGACACTGCATGTAAACAGAAAATATTCTGTCAGCACCAACGGACTGTTTATTTCAGAGGAGGGGAAGGTGATAGAAAAGTGTGTCATTGCTTTCACCACCAGAAGCTTTCAAACTATAACCAGCAGAGCAGAGTGGTATGCTGAAATGCAGATCATACCATACTGGTGGAAACCTGAACAAGGGCTAGTTGTAACACAAGGAGAAAAAAACCCCCAAAACAAAGTGAGAAGAAACAGAAGACTCCCCTCACAACTCACTGCCAATCAGAAGTGGGATTTCTGTGCTAAAAAGTTTAAGGAGACCCAGTGTGAGTGGTAACAAACCCCACACTTACAATGGACTGACGACGCTGTTCTACAGTTCGTTCATCATCGGAGTCACTGAAGTATTTGGAGTAGAGGAAAGGCTTGCGAACATACGCGTGGCGAGTGGGCTTGGCTTTCCCATCACTCACCTCGCTGGCATGGGGCTTTGTCTTACTTTGACTCTTTTTCTTCTCTTCATCTAAAGAAAGGTTAGTGAGCGTAGATATATATCCATGAATTAGAGCAGTGCTTTCAACCTAACTTTTGAGGAGGCAAAGCTACTCAAAACATATTAACAATTATTTATTCTAAAAATATAAACAGTTAAAAATGAAACTTTAAACAGCAAAATATCACTGAGTTATGAAAAAAAATGAAAGGTATATTCATGTTTGTGCACATCATTCAGCCAAAAAATTGCAAGTCATAAACCCTATAATAAATTGGGATACAACAACTGAGCTTATCCTCTTGCCTGTAATCCCATTGCCTCTTTACAAATAGTATTTAGTAGTTAACTCCATGTAAGGAGTCAGAATATAATTTCTGCTATGCATTAAATTATGCTTCTCCCCACAACAAAAAAAAAATCTGTACATAAAACCTAGATAGACTTACTGAAATAAAAACACTGTTCATATTCATAAGTATTAGTCAAATCATGTATTAGTCAAGTTAAAGTAAATAAATAAAATCTATTTCAGTTTTATCAGAATTATAAGAAAAAGTGCAAAACCATTTGTGCTCCATACTGCAAAAATTACTTGTGTTCCTGAAGCATACTTAAGGCTTACTTTCAGTTCACAAGCACTTAGTCATAACTGAAAACAATCTGTCATGTTTCAAGATAAGAGCAAGGCCAGAGAAGACACAACTAATTCGGTGCTTCTAAATAACATTCTCAGAGCAGAAAAGCTAAGCTCATAGCATACTAGAGAGAACTCATTCAGGTACCAAGGCATCCTGCATTATAAAATGGAAACTGCAGAAGCCACATTTGCAGCAATCAGAGTCTGAGGTCTGCACCAGAGAGGGAGAACACTAAAAGGTAACCCAGCCAGTGAAACCATTTGTGTTTCTGAACTCTTAGAGCCATTCCTGTTCCTTCTACTGTGGCTAAGTACAATTTGGACATTCCTGCAATCCTAAAGCTCTCTACAGCCAACCTGATCTGCAAAGGCAGCTACAACCACTACCTTTCTGGGGTCATAAAGCAGTCCAATTATACCAAGTTCATGGCAGAATGGAGGGGAAAAGGAACCACAGAACACTGACAAATTCACCACTAAGTGCTTTTGGCATCTGTGTAATACTGCAACATAAATAAGATTTACAGTGTTTAGAATATACCAAACTATTAAAAAATATTCAAAAAGTAAGTCCACTACTCATCTTTTGCAATTGCACAAATACTATCCATTCTACATGTAAAGTCTTTCTCATAGATAAGTACAACACAACAAACTACAAAGCCTCAAATTTATGATACGATGCAAAGTATTACACACGCCTTCTTGCTACTTAACAGTCTAATTATTTTACCATCTGATGTGATCTCTCCCTCTTCAGTACTCTCAGAAATTACAGCCTCTTCTTCACTCTCCTCTTCAAAGGAAGAAAGGTCACTGGTATGGACAGAGCTGACAGTGATGTCACTAAGTACATCCATATCTGAATCCACTGATGCATTTTCTTGCAAACGAAAAATTAGAAACAAAGAGCTGTAATGCAGCACACTGTATTTGTGAAACTTTTCTTACAAAACCAGCAATTCTGCCACTGAGAACAAAACTATCTTAAGAACAAGAAATAAGGAAAAACTCAACTTATAACACCTTAATGAAATGTTATTAGGTTAACTCTGGTTTGCTCAAAACAAAGCACCCTGAAGTACAACTATAAACTTCAAATGAAGACTGCAATTGTTGAAAAAATCTGTCAGATTAAGGCAGATGACCCACCACACACCTGAGGAATCAAATCTCATCTGATTCCTAATTTGGGGACCTCAGTTAAGAGAGACGGACCAGGTCCCACTGTGGTCTGCTAGAGAAATTTGTCAGAACTAGCAAAAAACTTACACTCCCAATACCTTTCTGATTCAACTTCTGAATACACTTAAAAATCCCACCCCACATTCATATTTTGAGGAAGTGCATTGCTCACACCATACCGTCTTTAATTTCTTTAGTGCTTTCCGTTGTTTTATGTTTATTGCTATTTTTTTCTGGAACTAACTGTTTCCCTGGTTCTGACTCTCTTGGCTGCTTTTCTTCTTTTGACTTTGCACTATCATCGCTTTTCTTTGAATGGTCAGACTTCTTGTCAAGTTTTTCCTTCTTTTCTTTTCTTCTTTCACCTTTTTCACTGCTGTCTGGTTTCTTGTCACATTTATCTAATAATTTACTCCTTTGATCTTCATTTTCCTGTTGAATATCTTTACTTGTATCTCTATTTGTACAAGTCAAACTATTAGCATCCTTTGCTGAATTTTTTGTTTCTTCACTTTGGCAGGGAAGCTCATTAGAATCTTCAGATTTTGCAAATGTTTCAGCCCCTTCTCCAGAAAGGTCACAAACTGCTTTCTCTCTGTCTGGCAGGTCCTCTGTGTTTCTCTCTTTATCAGTGCTACCATCCACACTCTGCTGAGAGGAGAGTCTTTTTGCAGCTTTGTCATTATTCTTGGGAGTTGATGTCTCTGTTGAAGCCCTGGCAGCACTTGCTTCTTGGTTAAGAGAAGTTATTGTTTCCAAAATGGACATTGCATCATTAGCTACATTACCACTAGGAGCTGTAGCAGAGGCACCTTGAATAGTAAAAAAGAACAAAGTTTTACTTCATGCCAGTTTCTGCAATTCTGATCAGATACAATGTTAAACAGGTGAAAAGAAACAGAACAATTAGACTCTATAAAATATGGGTAATTCACCGAAATATTTGACTAATTTTGCATTGAGAGATTTTTGGTTAAAAAAATACCAAAACAACAAAAACCACCCCAAGAACCCCACTCCTGCAGTTATTATCATGTGACCACCAGAGCTTCATTCTGCTCTGTGATATATCCTGAGGTCCACTAAAGAAAGTGGGGATTGTTAATGGGAAGGATGTTCTGAACACAATCCTTGTTCAACTTTACCAACATCCCAAGTGGGATGATGACACATGGAACACTGCAGAAGAAAAGTCTGTATCTCACACCTCCAGCATCTCCAAAAATGTCACGGAAAACGGACTCAGCATATTGATTTTGTAACAACAGGACTATCAGAAATCCCTTATCACTTTCCCATCCTCTTAGAGCCAGCCTTGAAGATGGATGAGAAAGGGTTAACTGGACTAGCACTAGGAGCTGCAGATGGCTTGTTAACCCACTTTAAAGGAAGTGGGCCTCACAGGAAAAGGGCTAGGAGTTAAATAAAGGGTCTGGTTACAAATAGATCGACTGCCATAGAGTCTTTAGGAAGGCAAAGAATGGACAATTACCTGCAGGAGTGTTTAGAATTTGGTATCAGGCAACATAAATGAAAATCCTAAAGAAAAACTGCTGTGTTTATACACAAACTGAAGACTGGCTGATTTAGAGCAGAACTTAAGCTCCTGAGAGGACCTCAGACATTCAAATTTTACAGCACACAGCAACTGCACTAAAACAGGTAACTGTCTCATAGGTAATTTTCTCTGATCTACCACTGGATAAAACTGAAATGAATAATTCTTCTCTTACAGCTAGGTCTTATCTGACCCTATAATACTTAGAGGGCCAAACCCCCAAACCAACTTTCTTCCCCTAGAGTAAAGGGATCCCTTGTAAACTCAGGCAGAAGTGACAGAGTGACATGGCTATAACATGGTGACATCCCTCTTGCCTTGTACATTTATACACACAGCAAGAGACAAGTGTTATGGTACAGCACCTGGAGTTCAGCTTGGCAATAGTGATACCATCAATGTCATGCTAGCAGCAAACCTAGTCAAGGTTTCTGCTCTCTCAAAAACCACTGTTTGTTAATAGACTGCTCAGAGAAATGGTAGAATACCTTGTACTGTAACAGAAGCATCTGCTTTCTCCTCACTCGGAGCTGTACCAGGGCCTGCCTCCTCTTTGTGATTCAATGTGGCTAAAAATTCATGGACAGCTTTTTCCACCTGAGGTCTGAACGTGTGGTTGATCTTTGGGTCCACAACCTGAGAAATAATTCTGTCAATTCCAGATTCCAGCATTCCAGACCTGGAACAAAGTTACATAAATTAGCAAGAAAAATAACTTTTCAAGAATATTTTAATAAAATATAACCATTTAGGTGTGATGCAAATACTCCTAAGAACCCCCAGTGAAACATGAACATTTTGTGAGCACCACTGCAGCTAAGTATTTAGCTTGCTGCCTGCATTTCAGCAGCTCTCCCTACACCTTATCAAGTAAGAAGAAAACAGTGCTAGAGAAACAAAACAATCCAAGCACATGGAATTATAACAACAGACAGCCTGTTATGCCACTACTGATTATGCCTGCAAACGTTATCTAATTGAAAAAGCTACATTTGTGGAAAACATTAAGAAGAAACATGATATTATCCATTCCCAGAGCATAAAAGAGATGGCATGAGGGACAAACAACTACCAGAGCAATCATTGTCACCTTAAGTTACTTTCTGCCCAGTACAGCATGACAAGTTCTACAGCTTTATAGAATCACAGAATTTTAGGGGGTGGAATGGACTTCATAGATCATCTAGTCCCAACTCCCACAGACATGGGCAGGGACAACTCCCACCAGGGCAGGTTGCTTAAGGCTTTATCCAACCTGGCTGTGAACACTGCCAGGGTTGGAGCAGCCACAGCCTCCCTGGGCACCCTGTGCCAGTGACTCACCAAACACCCTTAATCTTCAATAACATAAAATAAATGGCAACAGAATGTTTCATATCCATGGGTTCTCTTTAGACCACTGTGATCTTTTATGGGACATACACTGACTCTTGTCCTCACTGCTTCTTTAAAAAAGAACTCAAAACCCCCCAAACAACAACCACTGCCCTCCCTACAAACAAAACAGCTCCTCAGTACAAGTTACCCATGGTACCACCACAGCATCACTGAGCAAGTCTGTTCCCAAATCCCTGGTTTGATCCAATTTATTGACCAAATTCACAGCACTTTCAAGAAATTTCATGTTTCTTATGACTCTTAGATTTGAGAAGAAAAACTGGAAGAACCTTCATGAAATCATGTAATGTCAGGTAACTGTTTGACACCATTTTGGTGTCAAAACACCATTTGACAGCAATTCTTGAAAACCTTTTCTCTGCCCAGCTAGATTTACATCCAGTTTTGAGAATTCAGCTTTGTACACTGGAGAGCTTAGGTTACCAAATACTTAATTTTCCTTAGCTCAAAACTTCTTAGGTGCAGTTTCTTTAATAATTCCCTTTAAAGATAAAAATAGACTTTCTTAAAGATAAAAGTAAAGACACACTTTAGCTGGCTGTTATGTCCCAAGTCAAAATCAAGGTTTCCAACCCTGCATCGACTTGGATCAGATAAAAAAGTAAGATATTTGCAGTCTAATTCTGACTAGTGTTGATGGCAAGTTACCATCTGAAGTGACATCACATTTGGAACATTGTAAAAATAAGAAGGAAAAGCTTCTTTACAAAGTATCTCTGAAGAAAGGAAACACTTTACAACTAACCCAGAGCCTCTGTCACACCCTTGGTGGTACACAAGCACATTCAGGGAAACCCCAGGGCTGCCACTTACTTCAGAACCTGCTGCCTAATGTTATTTCTCAGCTGGTTCTTGTTGAGATGAGGACTCCATGTATGAGTAGCCAAATGGTTGGAAACAAAGTTGTCAACGCGCTGTCTCAGATTCTGGTAGGCAGGCTGCAAAAGCAACAGCAGAGAGGTTGGACAGGAGGGATTTGATAAGCACCTGGTTGTCCTCCTGGAGCCAGATTGGGATCCCCCTGGGGACACCCAAGGCACCTGGATCGACAGGCACTGTGTCTGTGTGTGTCTGTCTGTGTGTGTGTCTGTGTATCAGTGTGTGTGTGTCAGGCACTGTGTGTCGTGTGTCTCTGTGTGTCTCCGTGCACGTCTGTGCCTACGTGTGTGTGTCTATGCATGTGTGTGTGT